TGACATACTGCAGTAATAACAGACTCATATCATATCATACAACCAAGAACAATGTTTGGTGCGATTTATATCTTAGTAATTATTACGTTATTATTAAGCATGTATCACTTTGAGAGGGTTTGATAGCTTCTTTTGTTTGTTGTTAGTGTTGAAACAGATTCATTAAAGAAAAACTAAAAGTGCCAATATTCCCGACAGAAACTGAAGATATCACCCGCGCATGCGCAGCACGCAACAAAAGGTGCGGGGTCTGGAGAGCCTCAGTGCCGCAGGAAAACCGCAACACGGCACCGAGGGTTTGTCCAGGAGAGAGACTGAAAACACACAGGGACACATGGACATGGAGGACAGGACGCGCGTGTCTCCACAGACTCCACAGAATGGAACTTAGTCTGTTTTCATTCGGTTTAAACTGCAGCTTTCCTTCTGGAACCCAAGGAACCCTCGGTCCATGTCTTACTCTGGTGCAGGGACAGAATGGATGAGGAGAAAAAAGACACAATGACGAGCGACTCATTGTGTCCAGGACTCTGAGAAATACACAAGAAAGACGCGTTTTTACGCGGAGCCTGTGAGGACAACTGTGCGTAAAAGCTCCGCATCTCTTCACATATTGTTTCCCACGAAGAAAACAGATTCCGGCGGTGAGATGCTCTGACGCTGCGTTAGATTCACGGGATCGTCACGGTGAACAAACCAGGGACAGAACATCATGGGTGAAGTTCACAGGAGCTTCGTGGCTCCGGCTGTGAAGTCCTTCGAGCACTACGACTTCCCCAGAGCCAAGATCTGCTGCAGCCTCACGTGGCTGGTGGCCAAGGCGTACGGCACAGGTAGGGCGCGAGACTGGTTCACCTGCAGGCTGCATGGGTATTCAATTTGATCTTATCTTATAAAATCAATCAGAAATCTAATAGTTTCCACAATGAGCAAGCACTGAGAGGTGAGTGGAAAAAAAGAGGGGAGAGAGGGATGTAGGGGGAGAAAAGGAGAGACCAGGAACTGTTGTGTAACCATCATATTGTAGCTCAGACTGGTTATCATGAAGATAATAAGTCCTATTTATAAATATGTAATGATTCTATAAATGATAGTAGCTGCAGATAGTAATTATAACAACACCAATAATAAATATTATATATATATAGAGTCAGAGATATACCTGCAGATTATAAGAGAGGGGGATTGATATTGGATATTTATGTTTATTGTGTTGTTTGTTTGTTTTATAATATGAATCTGTGGCATCATTTAAATGGCAGCAGAACCTCTTGTAACAAATGGATCATATGAGTGTAGTAAATCTTACAATGGGGGCTGGGCAGTGATACATTGCTTATGCATTGGAAACACTGTGAGGAGGTATAATACATAATTGAGAAGAGTTCTAACCCACAATCTTCTCTCAGGAGCCAAAATCATTCTCTGCTATCTTCAGTATGAGAAAAGACAAACCACTGTTTGTGTTGTGACATACCAGATTAGCTGAAATAGAGTTAACTACCAGGGCTGGGCATAAAACAATATCATCGCAATTTGAATTGAAGTATTAGTCATATAACAAAAGTCCAATATGTATCGTTGTATTGCTTTTGGGTTGTGGAAACACTGTGAGGAGGTATAACACATAATTGATCGGCTTCATTTGTAAAATGTTTTGTTGTTTACAAAGTGTATAATGTAAGAGTTTAAAAAAAACAACCTTCACTCATGAGCCAAAATCTGTCTTTAAACTTCCACGTGCATTAGAGACCTCATGTACTACATAGGGCCGCTATTGATCCAGCATATGGTATTTTCTATTCTCTGTTGAGTTATCACAGTGTTTTTCCTTTTTCCTCTGTGGTTCATGAGCTGCATTGCTTTCTGTTGGACAGACAATACATATTATCATCCCAGCAGGAAAGAAAAAAACAATTTGCTATAATCGAACCCAGTCATCAATAAATGTTCCGTTCTATTTAGCGAGCAGGGAGTTCTCCGTGTAGAACTGAAGCCGTCCCTAATTATGTTACCTTCAGGGTGCTGCATCCAAGGCAAATTTAGAAACATCACACGTGGGATGTTTAATACTTTGTCAGCAGGGTACGCAGAACACAGAGGTTGTATTAATTTGGATTAAATGAGCCTCAATGAGCAGCAGTTTGAGTTTAAATGACACCACACAGTATGAGTGAGGCCTTGCTCCACATGCACTGAAATGAAAAGGATTTGGGTCTAAAGCTGGGTTTTTAGAAATCCGAGCGTCAGAGTCTGTTGCTGCAGGGAGGTCACTTTCAATACAGCATTACAGTCATCGTCCAACAGTGATTCTTTACGAAGGTTAAATAAAATGCCGGGTTTTGCACATTTTAAGTTGGAGCTTTGAACTATCCAGGGCTGATCTGTGGCAGAATTATTCATCTGTAGTCGTCATGTCAGTAGTTTGTATGCTTTGCCCACTTTCTTTAAAAACATGAACAATGTATTTATAGAGAATCTCAACCAACGTGTGGTAAACAGCTCCTACATGTATCACTCGAGAGCGGATGGTAAAAAAGATCACAACATCTAAGCAAGGGAGTCTCTTTTCTACCAGACATAAATGAAGAAGTACAGATAATTACACTCAAAAACATCTTTTCAGGTGAACCATGAACATAAAGATTCTGTGCTCTGGAACTGTTTTTTTCATTAATTGTATTATTTGCTGCAATCCCTATTGCCATAGTTGTCATGTAAGTATCTGCTCGCTGTTTTTTTCAGCAGTGAAATCACCATTCAGCTTGTATCACCAATTCAAACAAAATGGTACTCTGCCGATGTCCTTTGTCGCTGTGGTGAAACGGCGCAGTAAAAAATGAAATCTCTTGCACATCCTCTGTGTATTTTCAATCAGGACTAAATGAAATGGGCCGACTCCAGAAACGCAGCCCCTACAAAGAGGGGTTGAGAGGGAGTGCAAAAAAAAAAAAAAAAAGAACACTGGCTCATCTCCAGATCCCTTACACTGCTCTCAATGCTTCACATGCATACTCCTCCTTACACAGATGCGGGAGTGCATCAGTATGTAGTCAAGTACGTGCAAGATGCCAGGTGAACAGCAGGGAAATACCATGAAATACTATCAAACAGCACATTTTCTACATACTACAGAACTCCACTTCATAAGCAGAGCTCAATAATTCATTGTGACCAGAAGTGAAACCTCAGTGATGAAAGCAGAGTGGTTCGCTGTATTTCTATACAATTCCTTTGCAGACTTTACACTTTACACTCCAAACATCTGTGGTTTTACTCGGTAAAACAATTGAAAACTAAAATATTGTGAATATGAAACAACAGTAAAAGTCGCATAATGGTTGAAATGAAACCTAATTAAGTATGTGAATTTTTAAAAAGTGGTGATGAAATTTTCTTGATAGAATCAATCTGAGTTTTCTGTCTGGATTAATGTGAACACTGCTTTTGTCGTTGTTTACAGCTGTTTCAGGTTGTTAGAATGTGACTGCAGAATAAATGTGCAGCATGAAGCAGAGTGAGGACACAGTTCATTAGAAAAGCCTGCAGATTGAAAAACAACATGAAATAAAATGTAATTTGTCGTCTCTGAGCAGGAGGCAGACACACTAACAGCTCCAGGGCTGTAGATCTGTAGCCCAGCCTGACCTCTGACCTCCCTGTGGAGGACGAGGGGGGAGGGGTAGAATTAACTACCCCATTAAGAGCAATGACCTTCAGGAAAAGTATAGAAGTATACATCCTAAATAGCTGTTGTTGTCATCTGCGTTTCTGTTTCACACCTCTGCAGATGACCTTGTTAATAATAGTCAAGTCTAAGCAGGTGATTCACTTTGTGTGTGTGTGTGTGTGTGTGTGTGTGTG